AGGAAGATCACAGGGCAGTGGGTTGAAAGTCTTGTGGATCCAGTGGTGGTGGAAGCATCTCAGCATTGGCAGGGGTTTCCACGTGGCTCCTCCAGCTCCAGGGCTCTGGCTCCAGCAGTGTAGCTCCACCCTATGTGGCTTGTCAACAGGAATGTGTAGCAGAGAGAGTGTGTCTGGCCTCCAGTGAGCTATTTATCTCCGCTGTGCCTCCAAATGAGGTCATCAAGCTAGGACCTGATTGACAGGTGAGACTCCACCCCTTCGCAAGTTGACAGATTGTCTAACTGCCAGAGACGAGGAAGAGATGAAAAGAAAGATGGAAACATACGGCCTGTGGAGAGACAGGACAATGGGAGCAAGCCTCGCGCCATGTCGAGGAGGCAGTGAAGGCTGACATTAAACAGACAAACACTGACTTCTTACGCACGCCTCCGTCCATGAGCACGGTCCAGTCCATAGATACCATGATGCCACCTGACACGGGCAGCGCTGCCATCTAGGCTTGCCCCAGAGATAGCGTTATGTCCATTTGACCGGTGAGTGGGGAAGAGGGTCTTAGCCTGTGACGTTTCAGCTCAGAATTGCTGGGAAGGACATCCCAGGCCCACCTCCTCTCCAGCACGTCTTCCCCTGGCCCCGAGAGTCTTCGGAGGAAAGTGAATCTGGCAACATTCACACACCAGCCAGGGTGCCGGCTGCTGCTCCCTCTGCCAATCAGCTGGGGTGTCCACTCTAAAGCCATTGCTCTCCCAGATCCCATCACCCTGGAGCCTCAGGGGAGCTCTGATGCCCCCCCCCCACTTTTTTTTTGGTTTCTTTTCCTTTAATGTATGGTTTCAATAATATTTTTGTTCATCCTCCACTTCGTTGTTGTTTTAATTGTATTGGATTTGGGGTGGTTGTATCTTTTCCTTTAAAATAAATTTCTTATTTATCTATTTTTAAAATCATTTTATTGCGGGCTCGTACAACTCTTAACACCATCCTTACATACATCCATTGTGTCAAGCACATTTGTACATTTGTTGCCCTCATCATAGAATACATCTTTTCTTTTTAAAAATAATTTTATTGGGGGCTCGTACAACTTTTTAAAAAATTTAATTACTTTATTGGGGGCTCGTACGACTCTTATCACTATCCATACATACATTCATTGTGTCAAGCACATTTGTACATTTGTTGTCCTCATCATTCTCAAAACATTTGCTTTCTACTTGAGCCCTTGGTATCAGTTCCTCATTTTTTCCCCTCCCTCCCCACTCCCTTTCCCTCATGAACCCTTGATAATTTAGAAATTATTATTATTTTGTTATGTCTTACACTGTCTGATGTCTCCCTTCACCCACTTTTCTGTTGTCTGTCCCCAAGGAGAGGGTTATCTGTAGATCCTTGTAATCAGTTCCCCCTTTCCACCCGACCTTCCCTCCACACTCCCAGTATCACCACTCTCACCACTGGTCCTGAAGGGTTCATCTGTCCTGGATTCCCTGTGTTTCCAGTTCCTATCTGTACCAGTGCACATCCTTTGGTCTAGCCAGATTTTTAAGGTAGAATTGGGATCATGATTTTTTTTGCCGGGGGTGGGGGGTGGGGGAGTGAAAGGAAGCATTTAAGAACTAGAGGAAAGTTGTATGTTTAATTGTTGCTACACTGCACCCTAACTGACTTGTCTCCTCCCTGTGACCCTTCTGTAAGGGGATGTCTAGTTGCCCACAGATGTGTCTTGGGTCCCCACTCTGCACTCCCCCTCATTCACAATGATAGGATTTTTTGTTCTTTGATGCCTGGCACCTCGTGATCACACAGGCTGGTGTGCTTCTTCCACGTGGGCTTTGTTGCTTCTGAGCTAGATGGCCGCTTGTTTACCTTCAAGCCTTTAAGACCCCAGACACTGTATCTTTTAATAGCTGGGCACCATCAGCTTTCTTCACCACATTTGCTTATGCATACATTTGTCTTCAACGATCGTGTCGGGAAGGTGAGCATCATGGAATGCCAGTTTAATAGAAAAAAGTGTTCTTGCATTGAGGGAGTAATTGAGTGGAGAACCAATGTCCATCTGCTACCTTAATACTAAACCTATAAATATATGCACATAGATAGATTTCCCCATCATCATATATAAAAATATTTACTATGTACATGTCTGTACTTAGACCTCTATTAATGCCCTTTGCCTCCTAGTTCTTTCCTCTATTTCCTTTTACTTTCCCCTTGGCTAATATTATGCTCATCCTTCATTTGGGTTTCAGTAATTCCTCCCAGTTACATTGCCCTTGATCAGTCCCCACCCTCTTACACCCTCCTTACCACCAATTTTGGATCACTTGTTGTTCCCTTGTCCCTGGGTTGGTTAACATCACTTCCTTTCCCCTGATTCCCCCTCTCCCATGTGCTCCTGGAACCATCGGCCCTGTTGTTTTCTCCTCCAGATTGTTTATCCAGCCTATCTTACCTAGATAGACCTGCAGAGATCATAATATGCACAAAAACAAGACAGAGCAAAGCAAAGCAATAAACAACAACAACAACAAACCAATGGCCCCAAAAGAAAAGCCTGTAAATAGATCAAGGTCTGTTTGTTGACCTTTAGGAGTGTTTTCCGGTCAAGTCTGATGGGGTGCCATGTCCTGGCCCCAAAGTCTATTTTTGGTCTTTCTCAGGACTTCCCTTCTCTGTTTCCCTTGCTGTTCTGTCGCACGCCCTTAGTGTTTTGCCTTGGTGTGGGGGGATCAGATCGGGTGCAGTTCCCAAACTGTCTCCAGTGCTGTCCTCTGTAGGGCATTGGGTCAATGAGGGATGTCGTATCTCATAGTGGGGCCGGCCATATGGTCCTCTCTTCGGATTGGCTGTTCTGAGTGGGGATATCGTCCTCAAGGCTTGGTGGACCAGGATGTGCTCCACTCTCTCTTCCTCCCCCTTCATTTGCTCCCGTGTGCTCTGATCAGACACGTCCCTCTCCCTGAGCTGCAGCTTCAGTGCTGCCCTCTGAAGTGAATTCTTCTGAGGGGAGGTGGATGACCCCTTCTGAATGGAGACCTGGGATGTGGCTTGCTTGTGTCTTCCAGGCTGTCTGCCTCTGACGGGTCCGGACTCTGTGACGGGCGCCCCAGGGGGCTCTGTGAGCGTGCAGTGTCGGTATGAGGAGGTGTACAGAGGGTCCAATAAGTACTGGTGCCGCGGACCGTATGACCTATCCTGCGACACCGTGGTGGAGACCAAAGGAGGAGCGCGGGAAGAGAGGAATGGCCGTGTGAGCATCCGAGACCACGCGGAGAACCTCACCTTCACCGTGACCATGGAGAACCTCACCGCCGGTGATGACGGGCCCTACTGGTGCCGAATACAGAGCACGTGGATCCTGGATGTGCTGTCGTACGACCCATCGGTTCGGGTTAACGTGTCTGTTTCCGCAGGTGACAGCTCCCACCCTCCTGCCCCAGAGCGTATGGGTGTGATAGGACGAGGGTCCGGGGCGGAGGGGATGCTTATGCGCGTCTCTGTTCTTGTCCTCAGGCTGGTGCTGTCCACCTGAGAGCAGGGGGGCCGATGACTGACCCTGCCCGAACTCTCAGAGGGCCTGACTTTCACACCGTTGCGTTTGGAGGAGGCCCCACCAGGCTGAGCCAAAGCCCGTTTCACTGTACCCTTTGGAAAGCCTTGTCCTAAGGAAACCAGCTCTCCCAGGTCTTTGGCTGCTCACAGAACATTCCCTCCTCCACGTTGCCCTGCCATTGCCCTCCCTTAGGAAAGCTTCTGTTTAATAGTCTTCTTGAATGGACGGGCCTCTTTTCCTTACACCTCTGAGGCTCTGGGGCCGGGAAACCAGGTCCACATCCTCCAGGCCCTCCATCACCTTTTCCCACTTCTTGTTTTCCCTGACAGTTTTATTGACATACCACGCACATGTCAATGGCATGTAATTTACATGTCAATTCAGTAGCTCAATCAGATTCTAAGAGTGGTACAGTCATCGCCACCATCAAGTTTAGAATGCCCCCTTCCTGTCTCGAACTCACTCTCGTCAGCTCCCATTCCCCTCCCTGGCCCACTTCTCACCTGCTCCCTGGAGAAGTTGCGTCTCAAGGCCACACTCATTGTCTGCCTCTTCCTGACAGTCCATCTACTGGCTTCCAGGTCACTCCCCGACATACAGGGACCCCCAACCCTTGCCGTCATCTTCAAGTTGAAACTCACTGCCATCGAGTCCCTGCTGACTCACAGCAACCCCATTGGCCAGGCGAGAACTGTCCCTGTGGGTTTCCGAGACGGTCACCCTTCACAGGAGTGGGAAGCCTCGTCTTTCTTCCTCCATCATCTTGGGCGGTTTGGATACAAAGCTTCTCAAACACCCTTGCTTCACGCTTCCTGACCTCCTGACCTCTAGTGCCCTTCACACACATGTCCTTTCAGAAGTCCGCGCCACGGCTAAGTCATCATCCCAGACTGGTCCTTGCTCAGAACGCTACGCTTCCATAGTCTACTGTCTGACCACCTCCTACAGATCCATCCTCTCCTGCTCCCTCTCTGTGCATTTGCAACCTCACAGACTTCTCCAGTAGTTTGCTCTTTTCCTCCATTTCCGCTCAATTTACTGCCCCCCCCCCCACTCCCCTCCCTTCCCTCCTAAGCAACTGCAAACGTGCATGGGAGATGACACTTTCTCTTACCAGCCCTGGAAACTCCATGCACCATTTCTCTGTCCACCTCACAAAACCCTCATCCCTGAGCCAACTAGGGTCCCCACCACCCTGATTTCCCCAAGACTGAGAGGTTTCTCAGACACTGGGATGGCGGTGCCAAACTTAAAAAGCATCAGGCAAACCATGATAAAATGATCCCTCCCCTGAAATCCACCTGCTCAGTACTGCTGGGAGAACGTCATCGAACGGTACACACGGTGCCAATAAAAATGAATGGTTTCCAATATAACTCTCCTACCCTGTGAGGCAGTGGTTACAAGTTCGATGGCTAACCGCAAAGTCAGCAGTTCAAAACTACCAGCCTCTCCTCAGGAGATAGACAAGGCTTTCTACTCCTGTAAAGAGTTACAGTCTGGGAACCCCCAGAGCCAGTTCTCCGCTGGCCTACAGGGTCATGATGAGTCAGCCGGGACTCATGGCAGTGGGTTTGAAGTCTGACTGGTGTTACCGAGGGCCCCTGGGCTGTCAGATGTGAACCTTCCATTTCCTCTTTCTTCTCCCCCTTCTGGACTGAGGATCAGGTTTTCTTTATCCTACATACGCAAGGGCAATCGTCATGAAGACTAGATTTTCACTTCAGGGCTCTTAGCCTCCTTGTCCCTTGAGTCTAATTCCCTCTCTCGTCACCCATATCCTCACTCCATCAGACGTCCATGCTCCGTCCTGTCCTCAGCCTCTTCCTTATCATGGTCCTTCACCTTAGCCTATAGCCACGTGGCTTTCCCATCCCGCGTCTTCCAGAGAAAGACGAGTATTTCTGCTTCTATAAAGAGGGGCAAGCAAACAGGAGGAAAACCCTTGACCAGCCAGATGGACATGGTGGCTGCAACCACAGGCACAGACATGACGATGGTGGGGCGGGGGGGTGGGGGTGGGCACAGGGACACGCGTGTTTCATTCTGTTGTGCATGGGCTGCTGTGAGTCAAAACAGACTCGATGCACCTAACAACCAACCAACCAACAACAACAACAACAACAACAACAACAACAGACGTACAACTTCAGAAACCCAGAGGGTTTATTCTGCCCTTTACGGGGGTGATGAGTTGGAATTGACTTGGTGCATTTCTGGCTTGGTAGCCTCTTCTAGGTACTACCCAGTTCTCATCCCTCCTTTCCACTTACCTGGAGGCGGGGGAATGGAGTGCTTCCTCCTTTGGATGCCTGTTGGGCCTGCTGCAGAGCCCTGGTGGTGTAGCGGGTACCAGGACTGCTAACCATGGGCTCAGCAGTTCAAAACCATCAGCCACCCTGCAGGGGAGAAGAAAAAAGGGCTTTCTCCTCCCAGAAAGGGTTAGTCTCAGAAGCTCACAGGGGTCAGTTCCCCGCTGTCCTGTAGGGTCACTAGGCTGAAATCGACTCAATGGCAGTCAGGTTTTTTTGGTGGTGGCATGATGGCGAAGTGCTTGGCATCGGCTCGATGGCAGCGCGTTTGGCTTTCTTTTACCCACCACTTGGTGTTGGAACTGAACTGGCTGTTTCTGTGTCTCTGTCCTGACCCGAGGGCAGGGGTGGCATCACGCCCATCGACGTATCTCCAACGGCAAGGAGACCAGAGACTGCGGGTTGGATGAAACATAACCTGCATGGTGCTCTATGATGCCCTGAGCATCATGGGGGCGGGGTGGGGATGGGGTGAGCATGAGGTCATGCCAATAATTGGAGACACCGAGGCCCTTGGTCTGGAGGAGCCAGGTGGCAGCCTGTGCACGGCATTCCCAGTCCTCGTGGCACCGTTGGGGAAGCATCCGACTGTTACGGGCGAGGTCTGCAGGGCCAACCCACCAGCTTCTCCGAGGGAGACAGACAAGGCTCCGTCTGCTCCCTCGAGAACTGGCAGCCCCAGAAGCCCCCCGTCGGGTCCCTATGAAGCGCAAGTGACCCTCTGACAGTGGGTTTGGCCTCCTCTCCTTCCTCGTGGTGCCCTTGAACGGCCTCCTGATGAAAGTGGGCGGCGCTGAGACTCCATCGGCAGAGCATCTTCCTCCAGACTTCTCCTGGCCTCTTCCTCTTTTGGGGGTGGCTATCCATGAGGCTGGCGAACCCCCTGGAGAACCTCCTGAGAGGTCCCTGCCCTTACTTACCCCAAGTGGGGTCAGACCCGGGATGCAGAGAAAGCCTGATCCTTTTGGGAGATAACTCCGTGCGATGAGCTGGGAGAGCTCGCTGGGCCCTGAGGGGCGGGTGATGGGTGACAAGTTCAGGGTGGGGGAAGCTTGCTTGCTTTAGCCATGCTTCACCCGGGGGTGTGTGTGCGACCTGGGTCTTGCCTCAGGGTCCCTCTCAAGCCCTTTGGGTGAGTGAGTGGCTCCAGAGGACTCAGATTCCAACAGGTGCTGAGTGTCGGCAGCAAAGCAGTAACCTGATGTGTGGTTTTTTCCCTTCTGCCCCAGAGAACACCATCCCTGCAGTCACGCCCCCCACCTTCCTCCTGGGGACCGCTGGACAGAACCTCAGCACCTGCGAGATGTTCACCCACCACCCACAGTAAGCACCCTCGTCCTGCAGACCATAGTGGGAGGGTGCTTGGTGCCTTACTGGGCACCCTGGGGTGGGGCCTGGTGGCAGCGCCCATGTCCCAAAACCATCATCCTGTGCTGACTTCCCCCAGCCCGGGTGCTGGCTTCCACACTCTCCAAGGCTGCCGGTGGATTCTGGACCGAAAAGGCCACCTCTACTGTAAGCCCCTGCCCTACTGGGCAGAGACAAGGACACAGGCCAGAGGCTGGTTTGGGGTGCCCATCCTACCCTTCAGCCCGCTCCTTCTCCTTTCCCCACCCTGGTTCGGAGTTAGGGTCCTGATTCATCACCTTCAAATGTCTCGGCTCTGCTGGGGATCCCACTACCAGGAGTTGCTCTTGGGGCCTCTGGGGAGAAGGGCTGGCTCCAGGCTGGAGTTTGGGTTTGGGCTTTCTCTCCTCTCAAAGATACCCAGAAAGGGGGTGCTGCTGCCCCACCCTGCTGGGGGCTGAATGGAGGCGATCAGGACCAGTTTCAAGAAGCTTATTGGCTGGGGGGAGGGACAGAGGCGTGGGCTCAGGGACATGCTCTGTAAAGCAGAGGATCCAGTGCCCCCCTCTTCCCTTTGCCCCCCCCCCCCAAGTCTCCCTGAAGAGCGTCCCAGGGCAGCTCTTGATCGAGGAGTGTGGGGCCAGGGCTCCAGAGAGGGGCTTCCCTGAAGCGATTCCCTTAATGCTTGTTCTGGAATTACGTAGCATCAGCTCAAAAGGAGAGGTGGGCGGAGGAGGGCCTTGGGGTTTCACCCAAGGAGGCGGCCTCTCTACCTGCCACCCTGTCCCCACAGGTCCCTGCTCTGCAGCGTCCACTTCCTGCTGCTGGTCTTCCTGAAGGTGCCCCTGTTCCTGAGCATGCTCACCGCTGTCCTCTGGGTGAACAGATCCCAGAGGGCTCCAAGGAGGCCAGAGTCAGCCTGACCGGAGGGTCCATGGGCTCCTTCCCCAGGCAGGCCCTGTCCAGGGGCCAGCCTTTGAGACCAGCTGAGAGAGGCTGTTGGACTCCTGACCCCCAGGCAGGAGGAGCAGGGACTGGATTCTCAGGGAGAAGGAGGGACTTGGGTCTTGGCGGAGACTGTTTTCTGTACCTGGAGTGGGGCAGGGGAGGGGATGGCTCTGGGTTTCAGAAGTTGGGGTCAGGGGCTGAGGTTCTCCTGGGTCCAGCCCCAATACTTGGGGTCCTCCTTTCTTTCCTCCTGCTCCCTCCCGACCCTCCCTGAGAGTAGGACACAGGGGTGGCTCTCCCAAATGTCGTAGGTGCCAGGCAGGTAGAATGAAGAGGTTTTTCAGGAGACCGACAGAGATAGAACCCCTGCTCCTAGGGCCGCACTCTGACCTCAGGTGAGGTGTCCAGTCTCTGAAACAAGAAACAAAGGGCATACATTTGAGGTCTTTTTATTACGGCAGCAGCAGGAGATACACAACTGAGACTGGGACAAAACAGCAGCAGGTATCAGACAGAGGGGTGGGGTGGGGACTGCTGTCCACTGGGTGTGCCTGTCCTCTCTGAGGGGCCGCCATCGGCCAGTTGTCACCACAAGGCATCGTGGGCCCACTGTCTGCAGCCATCCCCATTTCCCAAAGAGAGGCCAGAAGTGGAATTCCCGCACTGTTGCATGTAGACAGCAATTCTACCCAGAACAAGATCATGGTCAGCACAAAGCATGTCCACCATCCCACGAAACTCATGGGTGCTGGGCAAGGCCCCCAGGAAGGATGGAGATTCCAGAGCCTCCTTGGATCTGCCTAGTGTTTATGTCTGGGACCATATGGTGTCCCAGCAGGCTGGGAGCTGACCTTCCCAAGTGCCCAGATGGGCCTTTGGAGATGACCTGCCCCTGCTGGCAACCAGGGACAAGGCCAGTGCTGCTCCCTGGCTTTGGGACAGGTGGCTCCATCCCTCTTCAGGTCTTGTTATTCCTGTTAGTGACAGAAGTCACCGCTCGAAGATTCTCGCGCACGACACTAATCAACCAGGGCTGCACGTTCTTCAACACTCATCCCATGAAGGGTTGACCTTGTCGCCGTCCCCTGGAGTCTGGGTGGGCTGTGATTGGGTCAACTAATAGACTATGACAGCGTTTTTCAACTCCTTTTCCACTATTGCCCCCTCCCCAGTAGCCTTATTCATTACAGAGGGGAAAAGAGGAATTTCAATAAGTTTTGATAAGGTCACAGTCCTATAACCACCATTCCAGTTAAAATCTTGACTGGGAAACAATTATTCACAGGTTAGCATTAAAAACAAAAACAACACTCATTAAACTGTACACTACACGTTTTGTAAATGGTCCCTGAGGTACATAATTACACCTTCAAAAATTATTTTTTAAAATATCTAAAATGACTCTTTAGAAATAATTTTATACACATCTAACACTAACTAGCAAGGAGAGGATATGTAGAGAAAAACAGCGAGTGTTGGCCAGGGTGTGGAGTTATTGAAGCCCGTGTGCCTTGTCGGTGGGAACGTAAAATGGCACAGCCACTGGGTCGAAGCGTTAGGTGGATCCTTGACATGTTACCCGTAGAATGGCCATGGGGCCCCGCAATTCCTCCTCTAGCTATCTCCCCCAACGTTTTGAAACCATGCACTCACATAGATACTCGAATACCAGTCCTTATTGCAGCATGATGTGCAACAGTTGGAAACAACTACAATGCTCATGCACCGATGAACGGGTTAACAGAAGGTGGTGTCTCCCTACGAAGGCACATGACCCAGCCAGCAAAAGCAATGAAGTTCCAAGACATGCCACACCTGGATGAACCGTGGCAACATCATGTCCCATGAGAAGTCAGCCACAGAAGGACATCTTGTACGATCCCACTTACATGAACTATCTAACGCAGGCAAACGCAGAGACAACAGTAGGTTAGTGGTGACGGGGACTGTGGGGAGGGACAAGGGAGAGTTCGTGCTTCAGGGGTACAGCATCTCTGTCCGGGCGATAGAAAGTTTGGAAAGCGTGGCAATGGGAGTGCAGCCTTGTGACCAAACCCTGCCATGGAAGCGAACACTTGACCCTGATTACAGTGTCAAACTGTGTTATATATATGCTTCACGGCAATAAGTGGTTTGACAAGTTTTCTTTTAATGTTGTTTTCTTTTCCTAACGATCAGTTGAACTTTACAGCTATCGATGAGGAGGGAGAGTTGGGACAGATGATGGCTCCCAGGTCGTCTTTCTCAGTTCACTCCCAACTCTTAATCGCTAGGTAGATCAGATGTAGTTTTCTCTAGTGTTGGCTTTAGAGTGACTTCGTGTCTTCCAGAGTGTGTGGGTCCCTCTTTCATTTAGAAAAAGTGACAATATATCAACGAAGCCACACCTGAAGAGCACTGGGAACCCATAGACTAATTCCTACCACAGTGGACGGCCACCTGGAATCAAAGGTCAACTTGGCTTTTCTCAGCCCCACCCAGGAAGGGGTGGCATCATGATCCCTGAGCTCCTCCGTGGTCACGGTGAACTGGTGGCATCTGTGACGGTCCCTGATAGACACTTGACCCCCTCACCCTCTGCTCTGACCCTGTGATCAGGAGTTGGCAAGACTCCCAGCCCTCCCCTGACACCCCCAACTTGCCGTGGGACGCCCACCCTGGCCCCCACTGGGCTGGACACTGCTGCAGGGTCACAGATGGAGGCGTGGCCTGGAAAACAGAATCCAAAATACAGACCTGGCAACTCCCTGGGGACCGACCAGGCCCTCTGATCCATCAGTCGCTCCCCAGAGCTGCCAGACCTCTTCAATACACGTCTCAGTCTCGTGGTTGCTAGCCTGGACAAAGGTCTGGCCTTTGGCCCGTCCAGAGTGGAGACGCAGGCAGGTGGATGCCTGGCGGTAAGCCATGCTCCAGAGAGCCTGCTGCCCTCTCGCTTGCTGCCTATCTTCCTTTCTGCACCTGAGATTCTTAGAAGAAAAGTTCTCACTTCTAACCACAAACTAAGAATAGTTGTAGAAGCACCCAAGTCACCTGCCTGAGTCCTGGCATGATGGAGTGAGTCAGAGCTGGGTCCCGGCACCTGTGCTCCTTAAAGGGGCCTCAGGGTCCACGCACCTCTCCTCTATCTCTGTCTACCTATCTACCTACTTTCTATCATCTATTTACTATGTATCTATTAATCTATTCCTATGTATCTATTAATCTCTCTATCCTATATAGCCAGTGTCTATCCATCTATCTTTTAACATCAACTATGTATCTGTCATCTATCAATCTTTTATCTGTGAACCTATCATCTGTATATCTACCCAACATGCATCTATTTACCTATCATCTGTGTATATTTCTATAAATCACTCATCTATCTATAGCGATATACCTATGTATGCAGTCATCCATTTGTTAGGGTTGAGAATCGTTATCTTAGGAAACAAATAGCATTTATTTACTCTATTTTTATCTTCTTTCCCTAGCACTTTAGTACCTATCAAACAGCAAACACATACCTTCTATGTATTCTATGTGTAAATATGTCTTATATATGTGTGTGTAAGTATAAATGTATATATATATATAAATACTTTTACCCGCATGCAATCTGGTGATGCTAATTCCTTTCACCATGCTGTGAGACCATCACCACTGTGTCTCTCAACATATGCAACGGTGACTCCCCTCCCCCTCTTCCCCACCCGTGGTCACTGCCAACGCACTTTTGTTGGCACTTAGTTCCCTGTTCTAAGTGGGGTTGCATACCGTCCTGTTGTGACGGACGTTCACTCAGCGTATTGTTTTCAAGGCCCGTCCACGTCGCAGCCTCAGGGCTCCACTTCTCATTGTGGCTGAACAGTCTTCCACCTGGGGGTATGGGCCACGTGTTGTTTGTCCATTGTTGCAAACTGAGATAGTTCAGGTTTATGGTGCCAACCTGGCCGACAAACACAAGTGGGGTTAATTGAAGGGCGGAGAGATAAATGGCTCCGTGAGAACTATCTCGGGTCTCTTGCTTTTTGATGGTCAGACCAGGGTGCAGCTGCCTTAGCCAGTTCCCTGCTTCAGCTGGCAAGGCTCACTTCCTGCAAGACATCCCTGAGGAGAAGCCACATGGACCTACCCCGATGCAGCCCTGGGTGCTGGAGCAGCCGTGTGGAGACCCCTGACAGCGCTGAGATTGCTGAGATTCACTGATTCGGCTTTCCTCCTGCAGTCGGTGTCATTGCATGTGCTTTGTGAGATGGAGGAGGACTTTGTAGATCGGTGTCAGACATATGGGCTAATGTTGGACTTGTGGGCTTGGACAACACTGGGTTGGGATACTTTCTTGATGTGTACTTAACCTTTATATCAAACTCTCTCTTAAACATATGAGTTTCTGTGGATTTGTTTCCCTAGTTTACCCAGACTGACACACAAACGCATGCATTTTTTTCAAATCAGTAAAGAAGTACACGGATGAATAAACAGACCCTGCCGTTTCCCCTCCTTTCCCTCATTTGGATCTTCTTGGCCTCCTTCCCCAGGCCTGGGGTTCCAGTTCTGGAAGCCAGCCCCGCAAGTGAGGCCAGGGACAGCTCCCAGGGTCCCATCTGCCTGCCCTCTTCCCCGGGAGATCAAATGCCAGCCTCCCTCTAAGACTCACAACCCTGCCCAGAGACAAACTGCCTTCGATTGGGCCGAATCATGCGTTGCACGTTCCTTGAATGGACTTCCTTTTATTCTGTTGTGTAGTTCTTCCCCATCTCATAAGCTGGGGGCAAGGACGGGCCATCCCTGGGGAATGTGGGATGGGAGTTACGATGTATTCTCATGATCCCGGGAAGGAAAGGATTCAGGCCAGCAGGCGTGTGGAAGAAGCCCCGATGGGAGAGCAGTGCGCCGGAGGAAGGGTCCTGGGAGTGGTGGAGATGCCCCGGCTTTGCACCAGCCT